TCTCTCCTCTCTTTGTTCGCTTCCATCGCGTGATATATAGCTTTCGAATTACCTTCTTCGCCGATCGAGCGCGTTTTTATATGGCGTTTTCGCAATCTGAGCTGAGGGACACATGCACGTGTCAAATTCGAGAACCACGTTCTCTGTGCACGCGGCGCCGCGATACGAGCATGATCTGCCATGTGCCTGCGCGCGTGCTTCACCGACTTTTCTTTGATCTTTCGGATAACAAATTTCGAGCCACGGTCCAGAGATTTGACCAGCCTCACCCCCCCCTCGTGCCAAGCTCGGTGAAGTGTCGTATATACGAAACTAGACCGCCCCGGTTGAAAATTGGGCTGTCACTTGTCCTTCAAGGCCTAGTTCATCTACTGGGCTCAATTGTTGTTATCTGCACAAAGGGCTATTTTGTAGGAGCCCAAACTAAGCTTGGGGCCGAATGACCTTCCCACTGATTGTCAGCCGCTACTTGGAATCAGCATATTATTAGAAGAAGGGTAGCGCGCGAAAAACGTACATGTCAACTTCCATTTATTAAGGGCGTAGTACATTGTAATGGTCTCGAGCTAACTACAAATTAAAAACAACCTATTTCGAAAATAATTATCAAATTCAACACAGTTTTAACCAGTTAGCTGAAACTGGATCGAATTTGACGAAAAAAACTTAGAAAACTTCGCGGGACTGAAGTTTAAGCTCATAATTAACTTGCTTATGGGAGCTTAAGCTTCACGGGACTTCAAGTCCCGTGAAGTTTTCTAAGTTTTTTTGTCAAATTCGACCCAGACCGGATCGAATTTAGTAATTATTTTCAAGATATATAAATAATAATATCCACATTCGATTACGGTCACCCTGTTTCATTGCTTCTGCCAACAATTGCTCGCAACTTGCCTTGGAGCGGGCACCTCACACCGTAAAAAAAAAGGTTTACTAATTTCTAGTAGCCGTCTGAAAATACGAAGGGTGCCGGGTGGGTCCCACAGTATAACTGCACTCCGGAGCCACACAATCCGACGAAGGATCAGCCTCACCTCACCTTAGCTCAAACTCTATCGTACAGAATGACGCATGTCAGCTCCTCCACACACTGCTTATCCTGGCTTGCCTTGCTAATTCTCGGTGGTGCTGCCTTCCCTGCTCACAAGGCCACAACTCGCTCTTCCTCGTCACAACTTTGAACTAATCGCGCGCCCCGTACGCGCTTTCCCCTTTCCCCGGCGAAAATATGGAGAGCGGAGTAGCGAGCTACGCTCCCCGCAATCTGTTGCATCGCCCGCGCTCTGCTGCGCCGCCTTATGTTCCTTCATCATCATCGAAATCACTTAGAAATGGGGTAAGTCAAACGTAAAAACCTCCGTATCTAGATCACTCGCATCATGTGTCAAAAAAAAATAAAGCATATTGCTCTAAGCTTGCTAGAACTGCAGTGCCCGAAACCGAGCTCGATCTTTGGCCAGTCATTGAGGGCGGCGAGTCGTCCAAGGACCTTGCCAAGGAGTTCCAGGGCAGCAGGATACTCATCAGGAACCACCAAGTGTGAGATTGGGGATAGCCTGGTAAATCTTATATGTTAATTCGCACTGGATCGAGATATATAGAAATTAATAGACAAGAGTTAATGAGAGAACTAAGAACTTTCGGTTACTAACTAACTGATTTGGTGAGATTGGGCACTGTAGGAGGAGTTCTTGACGAAGGCAACCCCTGACAAGAACCTCATAAGGTTGCTAGTGTGCATGGGGGAAGCCCTGAGAACCATCTCCTTCAAGGTCAGGACAGCATCATGCGGAGGAACAGCGTGTGTCAACTCCTTCGGCGATGAACAGCTTGCAGTGGATATGCTTGCTGACAAGCTCCTTTTCGAGGTTCTATTTCCAGTCCACTGCTGAGTTTGATACTTCGAGATGTATCTTATTCACCCAGTAATATATCGTTCATTGCAAACTAATTTTTGTACTGTAACTTGCAACTTGCTGACTGAACTATTGCTTCGATCATCACTCTTCAGGCATTGCAGTACTCCCACTTCTGCAAGTATGCATGCTCTGAGGAAGTCCCTGAGCTACAAGACATGGGCGGACCAGTGGAAGGTAAATTGACTGATATACTGATAGTTTTTTTTTCTAATTGAAACAGTAAGATAACTAATAATAACAAATAATTAAGGACCTGCAATTTCCTTGCCCTTCACTGCTAATCTTGGAGCTGGCAGGGTATTAAGGTAGTAGCAGTCCTCTTGAAACCAATAGTTTAATTAAATGACGAGTCCCGTCTTTTCCTTACGACTGTATTCTCTAGAATTAAGGAGGGATCACGCTTTTTGGTTTGTTGTTACGTATAAGCAATCGTACCGGCATCTTTTGATACTGTTGCATATTCAAGGATAATTACACCGTTTTTACAATATCCCTTCAGTTCTTTCGGTGTGGTCTCTGTTCTTCTTTCCCTTCGAACATGGGAAATCCAAGATAAAGCTAACTGCAGCATTATCTGTTGCAAATCAAGATTGTTATGAACTAGTCCATCATCAACTTAATAGTTTCTTTGTGCTAGATGTAGAATCTTTAGCCCAGGTCATAGACAATTGAAAGTGAGAATGATTCATTGAATGTGTTATATACTGAAACGTAGGCGGATTCAGTGTGGCCTTTGATCCCCTTGATGGTTCTAGTATCGTCGACACAAATTTCACGGTGGGTACCATTTTTGGAGTTTGGCCTGGTGATAAACTGACTGGTGTGACCGGAAGGGACCAGGTTGCTGCTGCAATGGGAATATATGGACCTCGGACAACTTATGTTCTCGCTCTTAAAGACATTCCAGGAACTCACGAATTCCTTCTACTGGATGAAGGTTCTATTCCAATCTATACTATTAATTAAATATTCAACCATGCGCAATGGTAGTAGAAACCATCATAATCTTGATCGATGCTCTAGGCAAGTGGCAACATGTCAAAGACACAACATCCATTGGTGAAGGAAAGATGTTCTCTCCGGGAAATCTAAGGGCTACTTTCGATAACCCTGACTATGACAAGGTACTGATTGGAGCTTTCTGTTCTTTACAAGTCAAAATTATTTATTACCTTACCACATCAATCTAATGGACGTGTATCTCTTTAGCTGATCAACTACTATGTGAAAGAGAAATACACATTGCGTTACACTGGAGGAATGGTGCCTGATGTCAACCAGGTAAATAGCATTCCTGACAAACCCTGACAGACTCTACCCCTATTTTTCAGCACCTAATATTATTCGTTTCGTTTAATTTTACGTGAGGTGAACATCCATTTCTTTAGTCATCATTAAGTAAAATACAAATTCTTCCTATGAATATTACATTTTTGTGCAAAAAAAAAAATCCTCTTTCTAACCGTTCCTCGTCAAGTAACAAGATTGTCATAAAACAAAGTCCTTAACAACGGCAACTCAATTTGCTCACCTAAGGGCAATATGAATCAGGATAGAAGAATGCAAAGTCTAGTGGCGGAGCCACATATAAGGTTTCTCCTAATTTCTTTGAAATTTGTGTATTTTATCTTGGGGGTTGTACATATTAGTCCCTTAAACCTTATCTTTGATATTTTGAAATTAGTCCCTCAATCATTTAAATTGCTATTATGTTCCTCCAAATTCTTAAGCTTTTTTTTTAAAAAAATTTGTCACTTAAAAACATTGCAATTGCGATTAAGCCCCCCTAATTCTCATGAGTGGCTTCAAATTAATCATGATAATTGGGGGATCTAGTGCCAATTTCAATGATTTGAGGGACCAATTTCAAAATATTAAAGGACTAATATTGAAAAAAGTTTTTTTTTACTATAAAAAAAAAGAAACAATTTATGTATATTGGATCCTTGGTCCCTTCAAGATGAAATTTCAGGTCCGCCCCTGGTAAAGAATTTTAATATCCTACCTGACTGACGATGTCTAAATGGATTTTTGCTCACAGATCATAGTAAAAGAAAAGGGAATATTTACCAACGTAACATCCCCAAGTACTAAAGCTAAACTTAGACTGTTATTTGAAGTGGCTCCCCTGGGATTCCTAATTGAAAAGGCTGGAGGGTACAGCAGCGATGGCAAACAATCGGTACTAGACAAGGTAATAAGTGGCCTTGATGAGAGGACTCAGGTCGCTTACGGGTCCAAGAACGAAATCATCAGATTTGAGGAGACTTTGTATGGATCCTCAAGACTTAAGGCTGGCGCACCTGTTGGTGCTGCCGCCTGAGAAAAACTGAGCCTCTCACCAGCATCAAGCTTTCAATCTGGCATCATAATATAGTGCAAAACATTCGTCTTTGATTTCAAATGTGTTTAATTCTATCTAAAATTTGAACCAACGAGGCGAGAGGTGTCATCTATCTAGTTCTCTCTGTTCGAGTCATTCTCTTCTTTGTTGTGCAATTTCTACTATATGTATCTTCAGATTTCTTTGGCAGTAAGAGCATGGAAGTTTGTTCTTTAGCTACCATGTTCATCATGAAAAAGAAGAAGAAGAAGAAGAAGATGATGATGATGAAGGCGGCATTAAACCTTGTGTAGATGATCTCAGTGAATTGCTTTTCTTATTTTCAAACCGAACCGTACATTGAGACCTGTTATGTTACAATTAAACTTGACTCACCGCAAGGCATCATGAGAGCTATACCATTTGAGGGCAAATTGACTAATTTCAAGTAGATAAGGACATAATAGATATGGTTGGTGAATTGTTTCAAAATGACTCTGATTGCTTGAGTCATGGATAAGGACATAACAGATTGTTGATGTCTCTTGGTGCTGTTTTATCTGAGCAACATGTGAAAACGGCGAAGGAATTGTGAAAAACGTGAAGAATAACTCAAAACAGGCTCCACCACACCCTGGTGTGGTGTCTGCCATGGGTGTGGTAGAGTCTGTCCTGCACCACCCCCTCTGCCACACCCACGGTGCAGGGTGTGGCAGAATCTGTCCTGCACCACTCCTGCACCACACCCTCTGCCACACCCATGGTGCAGGGTGTGGCAGACTCGTTTTTAGAATCCTTATTTGTTGAGGAATCCTCCTTTGTTTGGGATTGTGTTTTATTATAAATAGGACCACGTTTTTTAGGGTTTCTTAAGGAGAGAAAAGAAGAGATTTAGCATTGTTTTGAGCACTTTGAGAGGGAGATATTGTGAGGGAGTTGAGAGCTTTGGTTAGGGTTATATTTGAGTGATTTTGTGAGTTGTAACCCGTTGTATTTCTCCTCCATATAGTGAAATCTCCCCATCCTCTCCCCGTGGACGTAGGCAATTGCCGAACCACGTATATCCTTGTGTTTGGTTTGATTTGTCGTAATTGGCTTGGTTTGTGCAAGTGTTTGGCTTTCTTCTACTCGTGATCACAGGTTCGTTGTGAGTTCGTGCAAGGCTTCCGCAAAGGCGCGCGACAAAAGTAACTCAGGTTTAATTTTCCTTGCCATGAACTAAAGCAGCTTTTTAAAAAAGATAATATCTCGATGTCAATTCAGGTTTCAGGTGACAAACTACACACGTGTTATAGTATTAAATTATGGCCCTCTATCACACCATAACCTTTTTTACACAATCAGACAAAGAATGTCATGTCTTAATTTATTTCCCAGTCACTATCTCGTTATTTTATGTTATATAAGGTAACTACAGTGAGATCTATTAAAGTGCTTGAAGTCCAATATTTTTCCTATCTCTCCCACATGCTGCATTAAATTGTGTTATCCGTAGGTAGAGCCCATTGCCATTGCTCTTCTACAGTTCTCACCACAACTAATTATTGTTAATTAATAGGTAACCATCATTTAATTTCTCTCTGTCCAATTATTGTTAATAGGTAACCATTCATTAATTTCTCTATGTTTAAACATTGTTCCTATTGTTAAAATATAAAAGCATTACTCTCTATTACTCTCAATTCTTATCACAATTTTAAAGTTTTGATATAATTTGCTAGAAATTTTAACATGGTACAAGAGCAACTCATGTACAAATCCAACAGGCTACGAATTGAAAGCAAAATTTTTAAAAATTGACAGCTCACGAGTCTAGGTTTCTACCCATAAAAGGGCATTCAACATGCGGAGCCGTAAAGTGGAGTATTATCACTAAAAGTACTGGAGTATAATTCCATTTATTTTGCCTCTAATTGAATTAAAAGTGACGAAAATAATTGCCCCTAACTCTTCTTTTTTTTGTAGTGCAGGACTAATATGTTCATAGATATTAGCTTTTGTGTTGAGTTTTTGTTTGGAGTGGCACTACAGGCACACTCCCAGCCACACCTTGGGGCACACCTATTCTCTCAGCTACAGTGCACGGGGCCCATTTTAGATTTTTTAAAAAATCTAAAGTGAGCCCCTTCATTGTAGCTGGAAGAGGAGGTGTGTCCCAAGGTGTGGTTAGGGGTGTGTCAATAGTGTTTTCCTTTTGTTTGTTCGGTCATATTTTGCGGTCAATGACGGAGTCAGGACCCCATGAGATAATGATGTTGATAGCTAACTGTGGGAGCAATCTTAAGGATATGTTTCAAGAACAACTAAAACCAGGGCCAAAATTAAGACAATATTTAGGTTCACTTTCAAAAATAAGATAATTTCAGTGGTAGCAAATTTGCCCACACTTCACTATACGTGGCTCCACGTGCCATTGTAATCATGTACTATCTTCTTTGATGGATTGTTCTTACTTTGTTTTTGGATTCAAATCCTCTCTACTACCAACAAAGTAATGGAGAGACTACTACATAATCACAACCATTAATTATTTAATCGGTGATTGTGATTTTTTAGTGCAAATTAGGAATGAGTGCAATATACAGAGGTATATATGGTGACTATTAGATTTTGAATGTACCATAACCGGCTACTAAATAATTAACAGTTGAGATTAAAAGTAGTGGTCTCTCCCCTACATTTTTGTAGCGGAGAGTATCCAAATTCTTTCCTTTTCCCCCTTTTAGGCAAACTTTTATTACGTATTGGGGATGTTACGTTAAAGCAAGAAATTCCTAATCTCTTGCCTGATAGAGATTTAAAATGCATTTTATATTTTATATTGTACAAATTTGGGAGGTAAATGGGAAAAATAAAAGAAACGCCAAATGTGTTTAATTGCTTTACAAAGTGGAGAAGATATTTGATGTGATGTGTTGCGGATGCGCGGGAGCAGCGCATCCACTGCCGGTGCAAGCGTGAGCATGCTGTCTGCATGGTTGATATTTGCAGGTATTTTTTTTACCCCTCTGAAGTTTATATTGGTTTCTAAAATATTGATGAAATTTATTATTAGTAACTAAATATATATATGTAAAAATTAGGGTACATATGAGAAATTTAGCATATAAAGTACCAACAGGATCGAGCTAAAGATTTTACAAGCTTTCTATTGTTATAAAGAATAATCAAACACATAATTATCAAGCTATTTATTGATTAACAACCACCTCTGATGACAACATAAAGAGAAAAATCAAACATACAATTATCAAGCTATTATTTATTGATCAACACCCACCTCTAGATAATTATCAAGCTATTGTTGTAAAGAATAACCAAACACATAATTGTCAAGCTATTTATTTATTAACAACCACCTCTGATGACAACATTGACAAGGGCACAATATAAGGGGTCCAACCCTAACTCCTATTTCAGACATTAACTGATGCCGCCTGCAGAACCTACAAGCTCTCAAATTTTCATGCCAAACGCTAGAAAATCCATGGTACTTCACCTGAAAATTAAAAGCTGCATTTGTTCGCTAGCTAGTCTGCTGTGACTGTGCGCATGCAGTTGAATATAGAAGCCGTCCATCATTTCTTCGCTCTTCATTAATCCTGAAATTAATACTCCACACCTAACTAGTCACCTCACCTGTACTTCAGTACAGAAACTTAATATATGATTCAGCTCCTTCATCAATCATAGCCGGTTTTTTTAATTTCACGGATGATCATGTTTCGTCTCGAGTAAACAAAAGGAATGAATCCCAGATACATCACAAGTATTAGATTTGGGTTGGATATGAAAATATTATTGTCCAGCAAATTCTGTTTACTGGATAGTTGATGCATTAAGGAGAGAAAAATACTCATATCGTTACACTAAGTTTCAAACATGCCTCTTTGTTTTGCATTGGTTCTTGACGCTATATAGTTTCTCGTAGGCCTTGTCGTCGAGCGACTCCAAATTGATCGAGCTGGTTTAGAGGAAAAAAAACAGTTTTAACTCTTCTTAACCCTAGTTTGACTTTGATAAATAGCTGGACCAAGACTTAAAATTAATCTTGTCAGGACAATTTTTTGTCGTAAACCAGTTCAAAATCGACACCTCCACCTGTCCAGAATGCACGGTTAAAAATAATAATTTTGGAGAGAGTTGTCAAACTGACCCTCTCACCTATTAACAGGCAGCTGTGATTGAAAAAGCAGACTTCTCTGCGTCCATTGTCAACAGCGCAAAAAAAAGAACAAAAAAAGGAAAAAAGAAAAGAAAATTTTCTCTCTTTTACAATTCATGCCTTTGTGCTGGTATAAGTAGCTCACACTCTTCAACACATACTACACTCCTTTAAGGCTCTCATCCTGATCAATCTTAATTTCAACACAAGAAGAGAATGAGCAGCCTACGTGAGGACCAACGACACAAGAAAAACGAAGCAAGGTATGAAGAAGAAAGCAGAAAGGTTCAAAAAGTCCCATTCTTGAAGCTCTTCAGCTTTGCTGACTCATGGGATTATCTCCTCATGGCCATTGGCTCGCTGGGAGCTTGTGTCCATGGCGCATCTGTCCCTGTCTTCTTCATTTTCTTTGGCAGGCTCATCAACATCATGGGGATTGCTTATCTCTTCCCAACCACAGTCACAGATAGAGTTGCTAAGGTGATATAATATTGTTCAGAAAATTACATTTACAGTTGCAGTTGTTTGTTTCGTCGCAGCTATATATATCGATCTTTAATTAAGGCTAACTAGCACTTACATACTCTAAATAGTTCCCCCAAGTTTGCACTTATAAACCCTCAGTTGTGTTTAGCAGCATTTATATACCCTAAAATTTCTAAATTTTGCACTTTGATTTGTGCTATGCGAGCATGAGAATTTTCCTCCGAAAGTTTCCACGTGATGCGCACAAGCTTTAGAACGTCTTAGATCTTAATGTTTGCTGACTTTACTAGCTATTAGACCCATGCATCATATTTCTATTTAAATTTTTTTGACTTTTTAAAGAGTTAGAAATAAGGGTTTTTTATTTCTAGGCCCAAATGATTATCCATCTTTACCTATAAACCCATTTACTATTTTATGTATCCATAAACCCAAAGATCTTTGGGTATTTATCTTTAAACCCAACTTACAAAATACAATACTTGTAAGTGTGGGCCCCCCAAAATTTTTGAATTAATTCCAACTCTACCCTTTACAGTTCAGGTGGGTAGTTATGCATTGGTTATGTTGATTCGTATTATGCCGGGGATTTGGATAAGCGCCGGTCTACTACGGGGTATGTGTTCACTTTGACCCGTGCGCCGGTGTGTTGGAGATGCACCTTACAGTCTACGGTGGCTTTGTCTACGACGGAGGCAGAGTATATGGCAGTTACGGAGGCTGTGAAGGAGGCTATTTGGCTTCGAGGACTTTTGGAAGAACTTGGTATATCGCAGCGATCCGTCACTATTCATTGCGATAGCATGAGTGCTATATATTTGGCGAAGAATCAGGTTTTTCATGCGAGGACGAAGCACATTGACGTTCGTTATCACTTCGTTCGGGATGTTCTTGAAGATGGCGATGTGGAAATTGTGAAAGTCCACACGAAGGATAATCCGGCAGATATGCTCACTAAGGTGGTTCCGAGCAACAAGTTTGATCATTGTCGAAACTTGTTGCACATTCGTAATTGTTGAGGCCGTTGGCGGCCATTTGGATGAACTACGGGCGGCTTGATCCCTTGGGAGAGGGGGTACGTAGGCAACCGCATTGGTGCAGCCGAGTTTAGAGAGACGACACATTGGTGCTCATGTTGGTGTCGGCTCAGTGTTGGGAACACTTCGCCGAGGTGGAGAATTGTGAAAACGGCGAAGGAATTGTGAAAAACGTGAAGAATAACTCAAAACAGGCTCCACCACACCCTGGTGTGGTGTCTGCCATGGGTGTGGTAGAGTCTGTCCTGCACCACACCCTCTGCCACACCCACGGTGCAGGGTGTGGCAGAATCTGTCCTGCACCACTCCTGCACCACACCCTCTGCCACACCCATGGTGCAGGGTGTGGCAGACTCGTTTTTAGAATCCTTATTTGTTGAGGAATCCTCCTTTGTTTGGGATTGTGTTTTATTATAAATAGGACCACGTTTTTTTAGGGTTTCTTAAGGAGAGAAAAGAAGAGATTTAGCATTGTTTTGAGCACTTTGAGAGGGAGATATTGTGAGGGAGTTGAGAGCTTTGGTTAGGGTTATATTTGAGTGATTTTGTGAGTTGTAACCCGTTGTATTTCTCCTCCATATAGTGAAATCTTCCCATCCTCTCCCCGTGGACGTAGGCAATTGCCGAACCACGTATATCCTTGTGTTTGGTTTGATTTGTCGTAATTGGCTTGGTTTGTGCAAGTGTTTGGCTTTCTTCTACTCGTGATCACAGGTTCGTTGTGAGTTCGTGCAAGGCTTCCGCAAAGGCGCGCGACACAACATACATATACCATCTTCATGCTGGTTCAATTTTTCAGAAAATGCAAGCAACCGATAACATATTTTACATTTTAAATCCTAATTTATGTATGAACTTAAACTGTTGACATTTAGTCAATGGCAACGATATAGCAAAACAATGTCAATATTGATTCTCAGAAATAGAAAAGAGAAAAGGATTCTTACTATTAATATATGTAGAAATTTGTGCTTCTTGGACAACATACTACATGGATAGGCATCATTCAAGTAAATTTCCGATGGGTTTCGATTGATAAGTTTTCGAGATTCTTGCAACACAATGTCCCTGCAATTTTAAAGGAATGTAAGCAAAACAATATACTGTAACAGACCAAAAGAATACCTATATATAACAGCAAAGCAATTTAATTCCCATGTACAACATCTTCCTTTAACAAAGTAGAATGAAAATATTTTCCTAGACAGAAGATATTTTACAACCTCTTTGATGTTTATGACATGTTTTTACAAAGAGGCTGATGAAGTTCATGCATACTGACAGTAAAGTACGAATTGTCTACATTAGAAATGTCAGCTCTTATCCCACAAGCATAGCCGAATTTGTAAAGACCACAAATCTTACATTCAAGACGTTACCAATATATATATATATATATATATATATATATATATATCACTTTTACATGCGACGATAGAGAAGAAAAGACAAGACTGAGGAGAAAACAAAATATATACCTTCCACCAGGGTCTGCTATTTCATCTGAGATACGATCAGAGCCTGTGAATTTTGAGTCAAGAATCAAAAAAAGAAGGATGAAATTAACATGCTTCATAGTTCAATCAGGAGTTAATCTTTGTGCATCAGAATAGTCACAGGATGGAGTAGTGAAACCCTGCTTACGTGCTGGATTAGACACCGTGATCAATGGCATACCTCTTATTATTGCAACATGATGTGCTGAATTTTGCCGTTGTTTCATTCTGTTTGGCATGAATGATCCCTCTTGAGTTGTGGAACTGCATAATACACAAGCAGTGGTAGCACAAAATTGTTGCCGCAAAAAAGATGATTGAATGACTTCACTGCTGAAAACTTAACAGGTGATGGGGGCCAATTTGTAATATGTGTGGGGTTGTTTAAGACTCCTTCCTTGAGAGTATTGCTTCGGTACATGATGACAACCTGAGAGACCAAAACCGAATCTGATGTTTAGATTGATGCAAAGGTATCAATCCCTTGGAAAATATAATAAACAGCATCCAACAAATATATATAAGACAGTAATTGTCTCAGAGAAATGTCACCTGTTATGGAACACAAAGTAAGGTGGGGGGAAAAACTCAAAAAAGATGCGAGAAATAAACTGGGAACTGACATCCCTCAGAGGAAATTTGACCAATCCAGATGGTGGATGGTTTGGCCCCGAGTGTGTAGCGACTGCGATTGTTCCCCGTTGGTGCATGCAGCTTGACCAAGATACTAAATTAGCGACCAAGAAGAGGAAAGAAAGTTTCTTGAAATAAAGAAACCAAAAATGTGCGAGATATCAGATATAATGCTGCCGGGCGATTCGTAAAAGATTCACTGGGGAGAAGAAGAGAGAAGGCGGGACGGCAAAATGATCATATACATTACTACTACGTCAGTTTTCGACGACAGAGTAGATAGTAGGTTTTGCAACACAAGTTTTGAAAAGCAGAATATTTTAAGTTCTCTGCACCCTCCCACAAAATAGGAAGGATATACGCAAGGATGCTTATTATAGGTCTATGAAACAAAGAGGGAGACGACAACGCAAGGTTATAACAAAACATAACCCCCCCCTTAAAAAGTCACCATAGTAGCTTCCGCTGAGAAAGAAATCAAGAATGCTTGAAATATTTCGTCAAGTATGTGACGCATGCGGGTATATGCAAGCGCCCAAGGTTGTGCGTTTCACTTTAAGAAGTCACAGGGAACCGCCGTGTCACGCTATCTGGGATCTAGTTGTTTTCAAATCCATGCAACCAAAAAGAACCGAGGAATTCTCAGAAGAAGAAGGCGTTCTACTCAGAATCAGCACACCGAAAAAAAAAAAGAAAAAGAAAAAGAAAAAAAAGTTAAAAAGCAGGTTTTATACCATTATATCCATCAAAAGAACATCCAGAGAAATTAATTAATATCCAATTACACCCAGAACGAACAGGAACAGGAACCGGAAACAAGCCACTTCTTGGCGATCAATACAACTGAAGCACACTCCTCGCAAAGGAATGGTAACTATTGTTGGGCTTGCTCTTCCCCGACCCCCTCCGGCTACCCCTCATCGGGGTTAAATAAAACCTCAGCATCCCGCTGTCGGCGTTCCCCGGCGAATACCTCGCGCTCCGGTTCCTCTCCAACACGAACTCATCCCTCTTCTTCCCGATCCCATTGGTCTCCAGACCATTCCTCCTCGTGCCCCCAAGCCCATGAGCATTGCCGTAGTGGACCGAACCCCTCGAGCTCGCGCTGCTGTTGCTCCTCGCAAACCTCCCGCTTGCGTGGCACCCGTTTGCCTGCAGCTCCGGCCAGGTCTCTGAATGAAGCGATCTGTCGACCACGCTGCCGTTTCCTGCCGCTGGCTCTCCGCCGGTGTATGAACCCCAGATGCCTCAGGCCTTTGCTCCACCTCCTCGACTTCTTCCTCGGAGGAGCCTTCTGAGCCGGAACCTCTCTAAAAGCCGACCCGAAGCTCTCCGAGTAGTCATCCCTCAAGGAGCTCGAGCTCCAGTCTCTGAAGAGGTCGGCGCCGGCGTCCCAGGCGGGACCTTCGCATTCGGGACCGGCATCGTCGTCTCGCCTCATCTCCACGCTGGGGTCTCTTCACGGAGCCTCGATCTGTCGAGACTCCGCCTTCGGCTTCTGGATGAGGAATCGGAGTAGTAGTCCTTGGTCTGCGCTGACCACCGGCGGAGCCCCAGATCCTCCTCACCGGGATCTCGCCGTCGGTTTCTCTGGACACAGGGCTCGGGGCGTCTCCTCCACCCCGAGAGCATCGGCCGGGCGGCCGGAGAGCCGCGGACAACGGCCGGCCGCCCGCGATCAAGTAGCGCGTTCCCAGCGAAGCCCGAGGCTCAGTCGAACGATGTACCTCGGGTCTTGTCTCGAACGAAGATCCGACCGGCCGGTCCGCGAGAAACCTCGGCCCAAGATCCACGACCGCCGCCGAAAGCGTCCACGGCGATCTTCGTGACTGCAGTCTTCCGGAACCTTCTGGAGAGTCGGCGCCGCTCTTTCGCTGCCTTTCGGTTGCTTTTTCATCTTCTTCAGCTTCTGCTTCCTTCGCCATTTCTGAAGCTTCTTGCTGGAAGACCGAAGCGGCGAGCCAGAAGCTGCCGTGGATCGAGATGCTTTGGCGGAGGGTTTCTTAGGACTTGCGACTCGAGATCTATGTGGTCTTCAATCGGCCTCTCCTCGAGTACGATCTCGCCGGACGCCTGGGCCGTCACGAAGGAATCTCGACGGTTCGCGGCCCCATTCTCCGACGACCTCGATCTCCCGGCCGCTCCGGCGGCGGCTGAGAGCGGCGGCGGCGGAGGAGGCAGGATGAGGCGGATCGGCGCCAGTGGGCACCCAATGCCGCGACCCCCTCGCCCTGCGTGAAGACGCCCAGAGGTGTTCCGCCCCCTGAGCGCTCGCAGGACGCCCCCCTGCGGCTGAGGCTCGAAGGAGCGGAGAGCGGGGGCCGGAGAAGGAGAACGACCGCATCGCCGTCCGAGTTGGGCTGATGGGAGCCGGAGTGAGAGGTAGGGGAGACAGGGGTGACGTTAGCTGGGCATTGAAGCAAGATGGACTTGAGGGAGGAGGAGATGGTGCGGGAAGTGCAGTTGCGGGAGTGCGTGGAGGTGGCTTCCAGGCCCTGGAGGCTGTTCGCGCGAGTCTAGGAGTGCAGAGGCAGAACCCCGTGAAGCTCTCGTCCGGGTGGCGGTCGCACGTCACGAGAGGCGGGGAGCCGGCGGCTGGGCGGCTCCATCACCAGAGCAGCCATTTGGCCCTCCCTAGCTAGCTCAGTCTCCGCTCCTGCTTAATTTTGATTTTGGCTCTTCTGTGTGTAAATTACGTTCGTCACGGCTGCGTCTTCTGACCCTGATCCGCCCATGCTTCGCTCGCGTCGTCACGCTGGTCTCTACAGTGAGCGAGCGTGCAGAAGCAGTTTTGTTTTCGAAGGCGCTTTCTGCAGGATTAACATATTTGTTCCATGAGAAAAGAAGGGAAGAAGAGGGGGGAGACGGAGGCGGCCCTCTCCCCTCTTTAAAAGGGCGATGCAAATATATAATATCATAAAGTATTGTAATTGTTGACAAAAGCTAAAGTTGATAATCACGCCATCACTGTTCCTGCTCTCCCTCTCTCTCTCTGTCTCTCTCTCTCTCTCCCCCCGTCTACTTTTTCTTTTTCGCTTTTTTTGTTTTTTTTTTGTTTTCCCCAGCTTTCCTTTTTGTTTGCATTTCCTTCCCCTTTTATGCAAGTCTGAAGCTTGAGGGCTGACGCTCTCGCTCCTTGCGCTTCTAGGTTTTCTCGTGCAAATTTCTTTGGCTCCCCCTCCTACTAGCTTTTCTAGTTTTTGGACGTGTCAGATTCGTTGGCGGGGCACTCATCCAAATTGCAACGATGACGCCAAATTAGGGGATTGGGCTCGAGTTTGCGCGTCCGCCCTCCCCGGACTTTGGGCTTCCTTGTTTGTCTGTAGTTTGTTCTGGCTTCGCCAATACGAGACCCACACGTGGCGCGATATGCTTTTGTTTCTACCAAGGCTTTTTAATAAAACGTTTTTTTGTTTGGGGGGGTGGGGGGGGTGGGGATAAATAAGGTTCCACATACTTTAAAATTTCAAAAAAGTATAAAACAGTATTAATTTCTTTTTGTTAATTACGTAGGAAATATTGACAAGACGAAACAGACCAACAAGGGAGCAGTGGGGGGGAAATATATATATACCAATCGAGGAAATCACAGTGCGTGCTCGGTTCACTGGAGACGGTGGACAGCGATAATGAATGAATGAATGGAAGGAAGGAAGGATTGTGCAATTTAATGTGTGGAAAAAGCTTGCAGCATCACGAGAGTCCCATGAACTCAACCTGCTCCTGTTATTATTAAGTTATTATATAGTAATAATAATAATTGCGGTGGATTCGGGATTTCTGCTGGAATTAAATACGGAAGCAATCACGAACGAACGCTCAAATCCTCCAACGCCACTTCTCTCGGTGACTGCAGTGCCGTGCGTAGCATGATAATTTTGACGATACAGTACGGAGGGTGCTCGCTTGAGATCGCAGCGTTAGCTGACTTAAAAAGGGGACAACATTAATTAAGTTGAACCAGGAGACATGGAGAACCTCTCTTTATTTATTGGAAATTTATCAAGGTTTTGCAGTCTCAAGCGCATCACCAACATTTTTGTCACTGCATGCGACAAGGTATACTATAGGGTCATGTTCCGGTAATATTCCCAGCTTAATTTCTCGCTGCTACCCGTATTTATTAATTCATTTGCGCTAGCAACCATTATGCTCTATACAAGATAGCATTGCAAATTAGTAGTTTATTTCCATCAGAATCCCTACTTTCTTTTGTTGGGCCATGCGTTGATAGTGCCCAAGGAGAATTTTGGTGAGGGGCGCCTGGCGCAGATGCTCTGCTGCTGGTTGTCTCGCTAGCTTCGTCCCTTTCATTTAATTAAATAAACAAAAAAATAAACAAATAATTGTCTTACCCACATGAATGAAGATATAAAGGAGAGAGATCTTAATTGCCTGCGCATAGGCCAGGACCTTCAAAGTGTCTTCATATTTTGTTCACTGGAATTTCTTATTACTTCATGAAGATCCGATGGTCAGAGCATGATTTGTTTAGTCTTCCCTTTCTCGTGTTCGTGATTTCTTTAGTAATGCATGACAGTATTTATTCCTTTGTTTTCATCCTCCTCAACTGCAAATTCTTTTTTTTTAATTCTATTGCTCTGCTCAGGCCTTGTGTTGAAGTGTGATATGAGAAAGTAGAAACATAACAAAAAGGTAAAAAAAATAACAACTCTATAAAGATGGCATAGCAAAATCCTGATGCGAAACTTGCCCGGTACTACAAATGATTTGCCTAATTAAACTAGTTTTGTCACGAAAAAATAATTTACCAGATGTGCGAAAACCGCATGGATACATAACTTTAGGAGCTACGAACGCAAAGTTGCAGAAATCAAGCTTTAATCATATATAATAGCTAGCATCACTGCAGCAAATCATTCCGATGTGCTTTCCTTCTAAAATGGAATTTTACTGGAATTGAACCTAAGCTTTTGTTTTGACAGAAAGAAATTACAACTTTCACAAGAGCGTGATGAATGAGAGATGCAAAGTTCGATCGCGACCCCAAAGAATTCAAAGACGTGCATCGGGATTCTGACCCTTTCCTAAAGTTGGTCCTAATAAATGGCCCCCCTCCAATCCTATCAATCTAATAATAATAGTATTACTCAAAAATAATAAAACCCCAATAATTTACCATCTTGACAAATATTTTCCCCTGTTCCCTTAATAAAGCCTTTGAAGCTCTCCATATTAGCAAATAAGTAATGTGACTACTCTTCACTTTCAGATTGGAGTTTGGAAATGATAGTTCAGTTTGATCCATGAGAACAAACCTCTAATAAGTCTCTCATTGATCCGAGCCACCCTTCGTTTCTTCTGTGTTAGCATAAAAGAAATTTTGATTCATGCCAAAAGAAGGAGAAATATATAACATGTAAAATTCCGTTTTTAACTTCCCTGAAAAAGACTGACTGAAACATTTTACCCATCTCTCTCTCTCTCTTTTTCTATCGGTGCTAAATATTTGATTGATGAAAGAGCCCTGGGGTCATCAGAAATTAACATTTTATTGATGCTTTATCTGAGAAAGACAAAAGACAGACATGTAAGCATGAAGATAGGGGCCACAAAAAGACAGGGGAAAAAGAAAAGAAAAGAAAAAGAAAGCAGTAGCTCATGATTACAATACCATGTGGCCCTATTTGAGCCCTCTCTTGAACCTGATGAAGCAAGCATTCTTCATTTTTTGGCAAGCAGTGTCAATACAAAGTCTTGTTGGTTTCACAATTTCAAAGAAGAAAGCAAAGAAATCAGATAGGAAGTTCACACTCAGATTATCCCACTGGGAGGAAGCAGAAGATAACAAGCATCTTTACACGGATCTCAAGGGGATATTTAAGTTGGAAAAAAGCGATTAGTTTAAAGCTTTAGCTTCAGTTAAATAATGGGCTATGCATATAAAAAATAAAACCAGTCACATAATCAGCGTATGCGCAGTGTAAAACACGAGACAGAATTGGTACATGCATTCACATGATCATTGCGAATGTAATTCAAGATCAGTGCATACATCACAACTTGTTGCCGGGTATTCACATATGTATTCTGCTTTTATGTCACATTGGTAATGGCTATTTAAGGATGAACACTTGCTCTACATTGCATTGCATTTGGTATAGTTTGATGTACAGTTAACTGATATCAAGTTGCGCGTGCATTGGTTACGTGTATTACTACAACAATGAGATGCACGCACAGACACACACACACACACATAATATACACTCATAAACATACTGGTTGGATATTCAATGGGATTCGAAATCACCTTGTATCAATGCTAACCATATACTTATAGACCCTAAACAACTTTATCAACTTAAAAGAGCCCCTAAATCCTAAACAACTGTATCTTTTCATAACAACACATCCCACTGCAGGGGAATCCCAATGAAGGGAAGGAATGCATCATTTGGCGTGTTATTAGAGGGAGACAAAGCATGGAAGCACACAAGAAAATAGGGACAGCTCCTAAACAAATCATGCTAAGAGATTAATATTCCTGCAAGATCTTTGGCATGATTCAGGACCCAGGACCATGCCTCGGGGTTCACAATGGGTCCAAGACCACATACAACACAAGGGAATATTATTGTGCTCGTATTAATAAAGTTTGGATGGGATTGCATGGGAATCATCACACAACACTCTCTGCTATTCAAAGATCAAAAGCGAGAAATTGCTCCTGCTCCTGCTCCTGCTTCCATTTGCTTTTTCTTCCCCTTTATTATTAACTGGTAATAAAGTGAGATGAGTTAAATCCTGCTGATCACAAAGTAGGTAAAAAAAAGTATGAGAAAAGAGAGAAGCTATTCACACACACACACACACACGCTAAGGAGTAGAGAGTAGAGACTAGTAGAGAGCCATCTCCTCTTTACTCCCCTCAATCACTGGTTCTATCCTTTGATCATGGCTTTATATACAGGCATAATTACCACCTTTCTCTAAAGTTTCTAAACGTATGCCTTTCCGTGGGATTAAAGACCTAAACAAATGAAAGCATTCCTATAAGACACACATGTACAAAGTACAAAACAACGTCATACGGGTACCAACTCCATACTGTTTAATGCAGAGATGGGTTACAAATATTTGGTACAAGAATAAAGAAACTATCCATACTGTTTCATGGAATCATGCTATACAGGTGATCAATAGTTCAATCAAGCTCATGGTTAAGATACTCAGTACAACTCTCGTTCATGGCTCAGATTAAGTCACAGGCGTAGCACGAATAGTATAATCACAGCAAGTCTAAATGCGGGCAGGCGTTCATGATCAGATGACAACTTGACAAAAGAGCTAAGCTATAAGCAAGAGAGCCAACAATAGATATCGAGCCAACTGAATCGGCTAAATTACATTTCTAAGGGTCTGTTTGGCAAATGAATAAAACCAGTTTTAGTTTAAACACCTTTGGTTCGAGTGTTTAGCCCTGGTTTGGCAAATGATAAAGTTGGACTAAACCTGCTTTTTTTTAACCCATTTTTTCCTACTATCGGGTCAGAAATAAACCAAGATCCCCTGATGTGAACAAAAACCACATAAATCTGGCCTTATAAGATATAGTGGGTAGGGAAAAAGAAAGGCTATGTACACATAGAAACTAGTTTAGCCATAAATAAACCAAACTAGATTCGACTTAAAACTAGTCTGTATAGAAACTTGTTTAGCCTAATCAAGGCTATGCGTAACTGGCTCAAAACTAAACCGGCTTAGTTTCTAAGTTGTCAAACACACCCTAAATAATGGCAAGAAACTTAGGTTGCGAGTATAATGTCATCAATAAGTAGACTTAGAATCCAGATGACACAAAAGGGGTCAGCACGAGGATTAGAGTCATATATGAACGAGATATATAGATTACCTAAAAAGGTTTAGGAAAAAGCTTGAAATTTTAGGGTAATCATAGAGATTTTTGGTATTAAATTGGTGAAGCCAAATGGAGTACAAATTGTGGTTTTAAAAAAAGATACTAATGCCTAAGTAAATACATATTCCATGCAAAAATATACGTCAAGCTAAACAGGAAAAAAGGTGGAGAGAAATTAAAAATCAGGTCAATATATACAGTAAAATAAATCAAACGGAATTGCTATAAAAAATCACCAAATCATCATCTTAAGCCTTTTGCCACCCAAACATGGAGTTTCTACAGGCATAACTCTATACAGAAAGCATCCATAGCGATTTTGATAATATGTTAAGAGCGGATATCACCTGAAGCCAAGCCTCTTGACAGGAGACTTTGAAGCGAGAAGAACCAGGAGAGTACGTAGCGGCAGAGTAAGAAATCTACCTACTATGTATCGAGCTCTTGCAACCACGAGTGACTCATTCAAGAGTGATTCAATGTTCAGAAGGATACTAGAGGAAGAACAAAAGTTCTCCTGTATTTGACAAGAGCCAAGAAGAACATTCTAAAGCTAGGAATAAATTGAAGGAGCAATTCCTTTTCTTTCTCCAGTGATTCTTCCACAAGTTGCTATATATTTGGAAAGAGCCTAGAGGAAAAAAATGATAATTCTCCTATATTTTGTTAGAACTAGAGGTGAATATAAGTTTTACTGTTCTGCTAGGAATAAATTGAGCAATTCCTTCTCTTTCTTCAGTGGTTCTTCCACGACTTGCTATATATTTTGAAAGAGCCTAGAGAAAAAAAATTTGATAAATATCCTATATTTGGAAGAACTAGAGGCAAATATAAGTTTTACTTTAGTTTATGTTCTCACTGTTTCTCTACATCTACCTATTCATATATTATGTATCTATTTCTATAGTTTCAGAACTCTTAAATCTCCTACTATATACACACAAGAATTCTTAAAATTTTCCTTACCTCCAGTATGACCTCATGTTCAATAATGATGGTTCAGCAAAACCGCCCATGCATCATTCTGAACTATAAAATTGGAACATTTTTCGAAAGGGTTATGCATAGTTCTGAAAAGTAAAATTTGAACGATACATGAGGTTATGGCCTATAAACATTTAAAATACAGGTCCTACGCGAGTAATGGGCTTTAGAGAGTGCAAGTTGGAAGTTAATTATTGCTGAAATTTATCACCATTAGCTGTAGAAGATGCATGGTAAGAAAACAAATGGAATAACTAAAACAAACAGATGGCGTAAAATAGAGGTATAACATTTAGCATGAGTACTGCCTAGCAATACTTCTTAAAGAAGGCTCAAGACTACCAGTTGTTTCGGACTAGTTTGTATGCACAGACAGAACTAATTAAGTAAAACAATATAGCGGAAAAAAATTAAAAGAAAGGAAGTTCAGATTTTTCAAAAAATGCATTGGAATATTGAATTTTTATCTGCAGTTGATTAAATTGCTCTATGACATTTACACATGCAACTAATGAAGTAACCTTGAGTATCTTCTAATATAAAATATAAGGGACAATGGACCTTCTTTCCTGTAACATGTAATCTTGTAGAATTGAACTTGTCATCACTACGCAGTATGCACCTATCCTTTCTCGCCAAAAAATGAAATGAAAAATGGAGTCTCAAGATCTTTACAAAAACCTGAAACAGAAAGATACAAACATTTTAGAACATATTACCATTGAGTTAGCGCCAAAAAACATTAGATAATTCTCTATTATCTACAGTATGTGAATTCTTGTTTCTTAAAATCAAGAACTTAAAATTAAAAAAAAAACTCACTCATTAAAGCGTGTCTCCTCCATATCAAGTTGTAAACAGAAAACATGCTAGCGCCAACTCATGCATGTACGTAAATGTTGATAACTTTCCTGTTTCATGTTCTTTTTCAGATGAAGCTGCAGTTGAAGTGGAGGCGATACGAAAAGTTGAAGGAAACTGCTATAAAAGACAACATGCAGGTTCTGTATTCTTCGTGAGCAAGGTTTTACAGTCGATCCTAAAAATGGAAAAATGAACTAAGCTATCAATCTCGTTACCATCCTTTAGAATTTGTATCTTATGACTTGGCCATTTTGTTCATTCCCATCCGAAGCTTTCATCATCACTGTTATCAACTGTCTGGGGTCCCATTCTGGTCCGGATGCTCATCCATCTCAGAAGAAAAACATTGAAGTAAAAACTCACAATATCCTTCCTGCTCTTGGAGGTGAAAAACTCCAAAGCAGGTTCACAGAAGCTCTTACCCTCGGCTAGACGATTCTGCCTCAAAAGCTCATCAAATTTCATCTGTTCCAGTTGTGTCCATGACTTGGAAACTTCTTCCCCCATTTCAGCTAAGCCCAAACTAAAGAAAGCTGGACCCAAGTCAGATTTAAGGTGAAGCCTCTCGATGTTTACATGAAATCTGATACACTCCACAGAACCTGGAGCGGTACAATCACATGAGTATTGCTTTCCTTTACATATCATTTCCTTGCTGATTGGTCGATCATCGCCTTCTATTGGCCAAATCTGGGTGCCAAGCCACCTGGAATTATCTAATTCATCATTTTCATCCGACGAATCTTCCTTATTGGGTGAATTTATCCAGTCAGGTACTTCAGCCTGAAAATCAGGGCCAATGGGAATACGCTTTCTGGGAAGCTCACCATTGCCGAATTTCAGCAATGTTCTTTGAGATCTGCGTACCCCATTATTCATTATACTGCATGAGTCTGGACCATTGTTTGTTGCACTAAAAAACTTACGATTCCTCTGCTTTTGCTGAAACATGCAGGATTCATTTTCATGCATAGTCAAAATCATGGTATGAATGATGAAAGGAGAATATTCTACTAAAAGCATTTGGACTATCACAGAGCAGTGTCTGCTAACAGAAAATGCTAATTAAGACCAAACAGGTAGGAACTAGCTGGGGACTAATAAATACAAGTAAATGGATGCTAAGCATACTTAGGCCTCAAGATCTAGGAATAAAACAATGAATATGCACTTGATTAATATAATCTTAATACAATCTCCTTATCTCCAACTAAATAACCTTGGTGATATCTAAGCAAGAATATAGAGCTATAATGTGTATCTGTAGATCCAAGGACAAGCGCAAAATAATTTTCTCATTACAAAAAAGTGAATAACAAGTTTCTCACACAGTTAGTTGCCAGTGTTATATAGATTAAATTTTTTAATGCACATAGCCAATGTCCTGTGATTTCCTCAGAACTCTAGTTATACGAGTACTGAGAGATATTGATAGATATAGTTAGATATGTGGTATATGGGAATATCGAATGTTTGACAATCCCATCATTATATCAAAGTTGGAATTGTAACACGCAACAAAGTGCTTCAGTATTCTTGGAAAATCACCACTAGTTGGAAATGAGATGGTGGATACAGAAATGGTGCTAATTGTTGAAATTAGAGAAGTGGACACTAAAAAAAATATATTGTTATTATTTCTTTAGTGGTACAAACACACTATACTCTCAAATACAAATACTCTCTCTCTCTCTCTCTCTCTATATATATATATATATATTTCTCTTTCTCTCTCTGCTACTAGGATCTCGTTCGATGCTCTAACCCTTCACCACTCTCCTCTATTTATAGCCTTCAAAAGGGTTGATGGAACAGTGTTTTTGGGTTGGTGGAACATTAATGGTTGGTGAGTTACTGTAGCTAGGTTAGGTGAGGGGTTAGGTGAAGCTGCTAACATTAACTGTAATAGCCCCAGATAAAATAAAATATAATAATAATAATAATAAAGAAATTGTAAGTCGGCGACTTTTTCACCGTCTCACATCACCGCCTCACATCACCGCCTCCCTACAGTATAAAAGAGGGGCAAAGGGGGAAGAGAAAGAAGAAAAAAAAAGAAAAGAAAAGAAGAAGAAGAAGAAGACGACGACATGGAAAAAAAGGAGAAAACAAAGGTTCAGATTTGATATCTGGAAAGTAATGTTTTGAGGAAGTTGTACTCAGTGGAGGTGAGTTCATTTCTCACTAGTATTTTATAATATGAAATTGCATGAGTATTATAATTGATTTATCTTGTGATCGAAAAATAAATAATATATCATTTTTATGTATATAAACTTAAAGGTGATTTGACTTACTTTTGTTGTGGCCTAAGCCGTAATACGATGTTGATTTCGTATAAGATATGAAAAATCAATTTGATTTTATATGAACTATGAAAAGTGAAAATACGATGTTGATTTCGTATAAGATATGAAAAATCAATTTGATTTTATATGAACTATGAAAAGTGAATTTGGTTCTCATGCGATTTCAAATAATTGTAATCAATTTGATTTTATATGAACTATGAAAAGTGAATTTGGTTCTCATGCGATTTCAAATAATTGTGGGAATTGCTTTATTTGAAAGCTTTTGAAGAAAAGAAATATTTTGAATATGCTTTGACAGTTTAATGGATTCAAAGAATTTCTGTGACTTATTATCTGATAAAAATAAAGAAAAGTGAAATCCGTGAAATGTTTTAACTGACACTGTTTTAAAAAACCTCCGCCTAGTCCGCTTAGGCGTACGTCTAGGCTTAGGCGGTACCTAGGCCGCCTAACTAGCGCCTAGCGTCTAGGCGGTATTTAGGATGCCTAACTAGATTTTACGAGCGTTTAGAGAAGCATTGTCTGCTTACATGGATTGCACTTTGTAGGCCTTGATTGTGATTTTATGTGTCGTAGCCTCCACATCCTCCAAACTCCATTAATCTTCAAATATGAACACCTCCATTACCTCTTCCGACCTTCAGCAAAACCTCATCGACCACCACTTAAATGAAGAAAAAAAACACCCAGAAATCGCTTAAGCGCCCGCCTAGGCGACTAAGCACTGGGCGTCAAGTCCGACGCCTAAAAACGCCCAGCGTTTAATGTAACATTGTTAACTGGGATGAAGAGTTTCACCCTCGTACACTTCATTTGAAAATATTTGTAAATTCTGATAAGCACGGTTTTTCTGATTTGACTAGTGATTCTCGATGTTTTCAAACCCTCAAAAAGTCCACTATGAAGTGATTCTGCCTGCCATATGATAAATGCATATTTATTTGGTCTATCTGTATTGGCTCTTCTAAAGTTTGTTCTGGCCCCTCTGTTTTGGCCAGTAACATATGGCATTGTTAAGTGCATTCGATTCCCGGGAATTATTTGTTATCTAATACGTTTTACGCATTCCCATGCTACTAGGCTATAATTCGTAACCTTAGTGTGACATATGAAGTGATTCTTGTATTTCATGAATTACTAGCCGGAAATATAGAGCTAAGTGTTACGCATTGTGAACACAGTAGGAGTCACCTCTAGAGCCTGTAAGAGTCACCTCTAGAGTCCACATCACCTGACAGCAATAGATTTGTGATTTTGAGATTTGAGCGTGAATTCGAAGAATACGATTCATAGAGATTTAAGGTTCTGACAATTGAATGTGAAATTAAGAAAATAATAGTCATCTGGTTTTGTATCCAATTTAGAAATTTCTTTTCTTGTTAATGTTTACCTTGATTCGAAAGGGTCTGATTTTAATAAAACATTGCAGTATATTCAGTTACACATAAGAAAGAAAATATAACTGTTATATTCTTTCTTGTAGATGATAATATTATGATATTTGGATCGTATTTTGCTATTTTTGAATTTTGGGGGCAAAACTTATAATTCGTTATTTTTGAGAATTATTCTTATTACTATTTTGTTAGTTATCTAGGAACTCTAGTGGGAAATATTCTCACTGAACTCTAGCTCACCCCGTTGTTTTTAAAAAAAATCAGATCCGCTGTAGCTTCATACTAGCCGAATTTTTTATTAGGGTTTTTGGCTGAGAGGCGTTATATGGAGAGCCTCTCCTTTTTTATGTTACATACAGTCAACAATGTGCTTGAAGTAGTAAAATCCTTTTAACGGTGAGCTTGTGGATTGTAAGTATCAATTATATACATATATATAGTTGCTCTGAACTTCTATCATCAGCAGGTTTATAAATGTTTTGAGATAAACTATGTGATATGAAGTGCTAGGCTTGACTCATGCATAAGACTTGTCTTGTGTATGGATCGCTGCTGTCACGTACCCTGTATTTATAAATTTTTCGCTGCAGTTTCGGGGCGTGATACTAAGATGGTATCAGAGCCTAGGTTGTAGGTCGATTGAATTTGGAAAATGATTTAGTGATAAGTGAGAATGTTAGATTGCGAAGATATAAATGATGTCTAATGCCCTATTTGGCAAATAATCAAGAATAATATGATATATTAAATGATTAAGTGGTTTTGGAATATATATATATATATATATGTGTGTGTGTGTGTGTGTGTTAATTTCGAGGCATAGTGTTTGAAATTATTGGACGATATGATTTTTTTATTTTCCTCTTTAGTTTTGATGTCATGGAATGTGAGGGAGATAGTATGGATAATATTATGTTAGTGAGAATAAGTTGTTATGGATAAGTTATTTAGTTGGATACTCTAATAATTTTAATTATCTTATTTGTTAGTCTATTGATGATTGATGTGATTGAACTACTACGTAAAAGGTTTTATTTTGGTGATAACAAAGATGGATGATTACACCAATTCTATGCATTAATGAATCCAATATTTAGATTTATCATGGAGTAATTTACAGTATTTTCACTAGTTCTGTATAGGATTTTCCAATAGTTAGGAAGCTTGGGGATCACTTGAATTATTCCTGGATTTTGAATAGTTCTAACATGGATGTATATGCCTCCATGTCTCTTGAATTTATAGTGTAAATACTAAGAGTCCGTTGGGATTAGAAGATGTATTTCTGCAATCTAGATAGACTCTCTAAATGTGATGCCTCCTTATAAGTGGACCCTATGAACTAGAGTTAGGCGTTAGTGCAATGTGTTTGGTTTCCATGAAATGAGTTCCTATGAAAAACTTTGTTAAAACTTTAAATCTATGTCATTCATATTAGTGGAATTCAGTGTCTTGATTCATGCTACTTAGACTAATATTTCCAATGAAAAAAAAGGTAAGTGGAGTTATCAAGATTCAAAAGATTGATCAAATATACAAGACTCATTATCATGATTATTAAATTAAGGCATATGATGATGTTTTAGTATTGATAATGGACATGTACATGTGCAAAATAAAGTAGGAGATTATCAGTACAAAGAAATACATGATATCAAGTGTGAATGAACTGGAATTATAAGAGATATATGATTCCACCTTTTTATAAATTAATTAAGGGAAGAGAATTGGATAAAGTTATTGAATTATATAATTCAGAAGAGTTAGAAATTATTAAAATGAATTAGTGGATCAATGATTTTTTTAAGGGTTAAGTTTAGAAGTGATTGTTCAAATGATTTGACCTTGAACTAATATTTGATCTCTAATTAGTTGTTGTTAGTAGTAAGTGGTGGCTATTGACATAATAGAGATTCACCTGGAAGTCGAGCGCAATCTGATATAAATAAGTAATTAAGGATGGAAATCAAGTTTCTTATGTTTTTTTATTAAAAATCTGGTGAAAATAATATAATCATCCAGTTGGTATAAATTGTGCCTATTGTATGTTAGTGAACATGAAAATGAATCATCCTTCACCAATGGTCCAGCTTAATAGCTATCCAAGGCGAATGATGACTTGAAGTAGATCTCTTATAAAGTATTTTTTTTGTGGATTGAACAAAAAAGAGAGAGTATACTAGTATTTTGAGGATTACGAGCATGATGTAAGTTTGTACATGACAAGAATAATCGATGGAGAGTTATTAGAGTTTTTCTATTGTATTGGATGGACAATAGTTAACCTTTAAATATACTTCTATTTTGTATCATGCGAAGATGATGTTTAGAATTCAAAAGTATCTGAATTCTTTTGACTAAAGTCATGAATTTCGAGAATCCCGAAGGGTTACATTAGCCTTAAATCATACCGATTATGAAAAACATGTATGCTTGGATAACTTAGCTTCTATGGAAAAAAAAAGATTATTGTTGTTAGGATTATCAGAAGTATCTCCAGATCGAGTATACCTTCATATAGGAAGATTGAGTTTTAGCTAGTTTGGTGTCAGAACGAGTTTGCTGTATAGATTCTGTATCACATCGTATCAAGCAAATAAAAGGAAAACAAAGTAAAATTGTAAAAGTATCTGGATGAATGTTTCATCAGTTCTAGGATGTCACAGTGGGATAAATATACTATAGATGCTTAAAAAAGGGAGATCCAAAGTTTTCCAAGATTGATTTTTTTCAATTACAATCAATTGAGATGAAGATGGAGGATGTTTCTTAGAGTGTTTTATACAAGTTATGTTCATTCCAAATTTCTAGTATTACTACTTTAGCTCTCAAATGCATTTGCTAATTTTATGGACCTTATGAATAAGGTGTTTAAACCCTTCTTGGATCGGTTTGTTGTGATATTTATTGATAATATTCTGATTTACTCAGGAAGAACATGAAGAGCACCTGAGATATGTACTGCAAACATTAAAGAGAGAAAAATTATATGTGAAATTAAAAAAATATATATATGAGTTTTGGTTACTGGTTAGATAAAATAACATTCCTTGGACATGTAATCTCTAAGGAAGAGATTTCTGTAGACCCTGAAAAGATAAAAGCTATAATTAATTGGGACAGACCAACTAACGTGATGTAGATCCTTAGTTTCCTTGGTATGACTAGCTACTATAGAAAATTTGTAGAAGGATTTTCTCGTATTGTCTCACATCCGACTTGTCTTACCCAGAAAGGGGTTAAATTCATTTGGTCAGATGAATGTGAGAAAAACTTTCAAGAGTTAAAGCGGGTTAGTGTCTGCCCTAATACTTGAATTACCCTCCGGAGATACAAGCTTTACTATCTATAGTGATGCCTCTAGAAGAGGACTGAGATGTGTTCTTATGCAAAATAAAAAAGTCATAGCTTCAAGGTAATTAAAGTCTTATAAGCAGAACTATCCCACTCATGACCTAGAATTAGCTGCGGTAGTGTTTACTCTTAAAATTTTGGATACATTAATTATATGGTGTACATTGTGAAATATACACTGACCACAAGAGTTTGAAGTATATATTCACTCAAAAGGAGTTAAATTTGAGGCAAAGGAGATGGTTGGACCTTCTAAAACATTATGACATCACCATCCATTATCACCCCAGCAAGGCAAATATTGTTGTTGACGTCTTGAGTCGCAAGAATTCATGTAATCTAGCATATTTAATTACTTTTCAAAGAAAGATATTGGGGGAGTTGGATCGTAATGGAATTAAAATTAGAATTCACCAAATTAGAGTTAAATCAGCAAATCTGGTGATACAACCTTCTTTTATAGATGAAGTTAAAGGAAACCAACAGAAGGATCCTCAACTAGTAAAGATAAAGAAAGATGTGGAAGAAGGTGTTCGAAGAGAATTCAAAATACATGAAGATAGGTCATTGAGGTTTGCAATTGAACTTTGTTCCATTTTCACTTGTGTCATGAATTGTCCGTTTGCACATTTGATGCTAGGTTGTGCCACTGTGTGTCATACCACGTTAGTATTTGTGTTTATTTGATTTTTGTCAGAAAATCTGCAGGTGAAATTGGATCGGGGTCTGGAGATGTTGAGCATCTTCAAGAAACATGAAGCTGATATGTCAATTCTTGATGACTTTGATTTCTACGAGGAAAGGCAGAAAGCCATGCAGGAAAGGAAGTCCAGACAACAGCATGGGCAATCCAACCCTACATTTCCTGTCTTGTCAGCTGCCATTGATGAGCTAAACTACTCGGCACCAAAATCTGGGGAGGTGATGAGTCAAATTTCAAAGACCTTTGCTGAGGTGGTACGGCTGGATGAAGGGAAAACTCCAGATTCAAAGGCAGATAAAGGTAACTCCACCACCACCCTAGCTGCTGCTGCTGCTGCTGCTAAGACCGAGGATTTTAAGGAGGAAGCTACAGCAGAGGTTGCTCAAAATAGTTAAGAGCGTTCAGCCGGAAGCTTTACCATCCTCTCTGTCATGCATCCGTCTGTTTCTTGTTTTATTCATCACAAGTTTGGCCCCTCTGTATTGTCTCTTCTGAAGTTTATTCTGACCCCTCTGCTTTGGTCAGTAACCTATGACAGTGTTAAGTGCATTCGATTCCCGGGAATTATCTGTTATCTGATGCGTTTTAAGCATTCCCATGCTACTGAGCTATAATTCGTAGCCTTAGTGTGACATATGAGATGATTCTTGTGTTTCATGAATTACTAGCCGAAAATGTTAAGCTAAGTGTTATACGGGGCTAAGTGCTATACCTTGTGGACGTAGTGGGAGCCACCTCTAGAGCCTGTAAAAGCTACCTCTAGAGTCCACATCACCTGGTAATAATAGATTTGTGATTTTAAGATTTGAGCGTGAATTCGAAGAATACGATTCATCGAGATTTAAGATTCTGACAATTGACTGTGAAATTAAGAAAATAATAGCCATCTGGTTATGTACCCAATTTAAAAATTTCTTTTCTTGTTAATGTTTACCTTGATTCGAAAGGGTCCGATTTTCATAAAATATTACAGTATATTCAGTTACACATAAGAAAGAAAATATAATTGTTGTATTCTTTCTTGTAGATGACAATATTATGATATTTGGATCGTATTTTGCTAATTTTGAATTTCTGGTGCAAAACTTATAATTCGTTATTTCTAAGAATTATTCTTATTGCTATTTTGTTAGTTATCTAGAAACTCTAGTGGAAAATATTCTCACTGAGCGCTAACTCACCCCGTTATTTAAAAAAAAATCAGATCTGCTGTAGCTTCATGCTAGCCGAACTTTTGGTTAGGGCTTTTGGCTGAGAAGCGTTATATGGAGAGCCTCTCTTTTTTTATGTTATATACAGTCAACAATGTCCTTGAAGTAGTAGAATGCTTATAACGGTGAGCTTGTGGGTTGTAAGTATTGATTATATACATATATATAGTTGCTCTGAACTTCTATCATCAGCAGGTTTATAAATATTTTGAGATAAACTATGTGATATGAAGTGCTAAGCTTGACTCATGCATAAGACTTGTCTTGTGCATGGGTCGCTGTTGTCACGTACCCTATACTTATAAATTTTTCGCTGCAGTTTCGTGGCGTGACATTAACATTCCCCCTCAGTAGTGACTTCTCTATCCATAAGTCCAAGAATTCTAACTTTCTTAATGCTTGGATTTCCTCTCTCACTGTTTGTCTCCATTCTTCACTCTCATATGCTTTTTTAAATGTAAACGGTTCTTTCACGTCTTCTATCACAGCAACATTAGCATACTAAGAATTTGGCTTCCTGAGCCTGGTTGATCTTCAAAGTTGTTCAACTGATTCTTCTTCGATATTCTCTATCTGGCTCGGGCATACTTCTTCTGGTGTTGTCTGACAAACACCAGTCTTTCATGGATTATTCTCCTTTGAGGATGTTGAAGAACTTGGTTCTGTCTTCTTTGACTGCTTCAGTTCTTCTTCTTGACTTGGTTCCCTCAGCTTCTTCTGCAACTGATCCTCTAAATCACTAGGGTCTGGTAGCACAACTTATTTTGGAGTCCACCAAGATAAAGCTTCATCAAACACAACATTCCTTAATGTGTAGCATCGTCCGGTTGTGGGATCATAACATCTCCATCCTTCTCTTTTATTATCATACCCCACAAATATATATCTTACAACCTTTTTATCGAACTTGCTGCGTAAGTGATCAGGCACAAAGACATAACATACACAATCAAAGACTCTGAAATGACTTACGGTTGAGTTGGTATTCCATAACTTCTAAAAAGACAACATGAAATTCAGCTTTGGTTGTGGTAGACGATTGATCATGTGCGCCACAATCTTCATACACTCGGCCTAAAAACATCCTGGCATGTTCCTGGCATGAAGCATGCTTCTACAAATTTCGGCAAGGTGACGATTCTTTCTTTCGGCTACGCCATTTTGCTGTGGAGTATTTGGGCACGTTAGCTGTCGCCGAATCTTGTGCTACTTCAGGTAGTCGTAAAACTCCTTTGATGTGTACTCTCCTCCGTTGTCTGTGCGTAGGTAACAAATCTTCTTGTCGAGTTCTTATTCGACTTCGTCTCGAAATTGCTTGAATTTGGAGAGTGCTTCAGATTTTTCCTTCATAAAATCAACCCAGACATACCTCGAGTAATCATCGATGAAAGTGATCATGTACCGCATCCCACCGATTGATTCTTATTTTACTCGACCAAATACATCTGAGCGTACAAGCTTCAAAGGTTCATTGGCTCTGAACTGTGACTCCTGATACAGTAATTGATGCGTCTTACCGTACTGATAACCTCCACATATGGTCTCTCCTCGAATCTCCAAGTGTGGAAAACCCTTCAACATTGACTTCTCCATCATGATCTTGAGCTTGTGATAGCTCACATGGCTAAGCCGAGCATGCCACAAATCAGCCGTCTCATTTTTCTTAGTCTTACTTATATATATTGATTCCGCTAATATTATATAGATAAATTCTACCTTCCATCCCTCCATGACAGGTTCTGCTGATGGCTTCAAGTTTCGATAGACTTTTACATCTTATGGCCCAAATACTATATAGTTTCCAGAAGCTGTTAATTGGAAAATAGATAAAAGATTCTTTTTCATACCCGGTACATGGTATACATCTTATAGTTGTATCCAATTTGAGTTGTAGCGCGACGTAAATGTAGTCTTTTCGATGTGTGTGATAGATAATCTGGAATTATTCGCTATAATAACTTCTCGGTCACCTTTATACTCCTTTATGTTGATAAGTTTCCCTTTATGTCCCGTCATGTGGTTAGAACAGCCAGAATCAACGATCCAATCTTTATTATAGTTGATTTCTTCTCGATCTGAAACTGTTGTAAATGCGGACTCGGATTCTTCTACAATAGATGTTAGTGTCATACTAACAACCTCGTCTTCGTCGACTAGTACATCTTCAATGATGGCCACGAATGCTTGTGCATCCTATTCATCTTCTTCATCTTGACATCTAAGTGATGTTGCAGCATTGCCCTCTGCAAGTCTTCTCTTGTAGTGATAGTCTCTGGAAAAGTATCATTTCTTTCCACAGTTGTAACAGCTATTATTAGCTCTCCTTGCTCGACGATCACCTTACTTCTCATGTTGTTGTGTTATGTCAATGTATGACCGTTCTAACTGCCTCCTTAAATCAACCTTTCCATCCTCCTCTTTCATCGTGTCTCTTGGTTTGCCTCTCTCCTTGCTGCTGAAGAGTACTTCATCTTTACTTTTTATTAAAACACCGATCATTTGTTTGGCTAGGGTTTTCTGTGTAGCGAGCAAACTCTCCAACTCTAATAATATTGGTTGAGTCGGCCATCCGTGAGTAGCAGTAACGAGCCCGTGGAATTTCGGTCTTAAACCGTGAATGATTATTCTCCTCATCCTTGCATCAGATACTTTAGAATCTGGATCTAATTAAGCAATATCTGAACATAGTGATTTTACTTGCTTGAAGTACTGACTGATTGTCAGATCCTTCTGTTGCAAGGTCATCAATTGATTCTCCAGGAGTTGAAGTTCGAAAAGAGTGTGGCGAACGTATCCCATGCCTCCTTCGGAGTTTTGGCATCTCGCATGTAATCTACGAGATCTTCTTCTACAGTTGTCTTCAGCACATACATAGCCTTGTCGGCTTTGATGTTCCACTTCCTTAGTACTTCGCCAGCCTCCCGAGGTGATGTAGTTTTAGAACCCCTGATGACTTCCCAGAGATCTTGTCCTTATAAATAGGACTTCATACAGGTCTCCCAGTAGCTGTAGTTATTACCATTGAGTTTCTTGAGTGTCGTGGTAGTATTTGCTAGACCTGTCATCGTGGCGTGGTACTGTTTCAGTATCTCCACGCAAGTTTGGTCCCTGACCAACCAACTTCACAGTCCCGGACTGAACACGAACTTCGGCCTTCAAGAATACTGATAGGATCACCGTAGGAGAGAGCAGGTCCCTGACCGCCTTACTTCTATCACGAGCTATAACTTCTATTATTTCATGTAAACAATAAGCGTACTTATAAACAGTAACCGTATTAGTGAATAGTGATCATACTAATGAATAGTATCATACTCAAGAATAGTAATCAGTGTCTACAAAGGGTAAATGATGATCTAATTTATTTTCTGATGTAGAAGATCTACCTTTGGTGGCAGCCACAGAGCATATAATAAACAGATACACGTACCCTAATTCAAGTTCTGATACTAATTGTTGAAATGAGAGAAGTGGTGGACACTAAGAAATATATTGTTATTATTTCTTTAGTGATACAAACACACTATATACTCTGTAATATAAATACTCTCTTTCTCTCTCTCTCTCTCTCTTTCTCTCTCTCTCTCTATCTTTCTCTTTCTCTTTCTGCTACTGGGATCTTTGTTCGATGCTCTAATCCTTCACCACTCTCCTCTATTTATAGCCTTCAAAAGGTTGGTGAAACAGTATTTTTAAGTTGGTGGAACAATAATGGTTGGTGAGTTACTATAGCTAGGTTAGGTGAGGGGTTAGGTGAAACTGCTGACATTAACACTAATAATGTCTGCAGAATGAAAACCTTAAAACCCCGATAATGAGATGAAAGAGACCTAAAATAACACGGACAAAGATTGTGACAAATAAATTCATAAAGAATATAATTGCAATAAGCCAGAATTTTAATTCCAAAATTACAAAAAATGGTAAGAACAATCACTGCTCGAAAAAGAAGGATGCCTACAGTCAGTAAAAGAATTAAGATGGTGATTATACTTACCTAGTTCTCTTCAATTTTATCATTTACGTAATTTTTTCACATTAGCAATAAAATAATTTTTTTTCAAACATAAGTCATTTAGTTACGTCATGCCATGCGGATGAGGCAGAATTTCTGGCTTAGGGATATATTTTTGCCTTGTCAACGAATAAGTTCGTCTCCGTTCGCCCATTTGGTTCTAAAGTAGTCCTAGTGAAAAATAAAGTATCTAACGACAGAAATACGCATCTCAATCTTGTGACCAAATACAATCGAAACTATCAAGCTAATGGATCCAAGCTTGTCATGGAGCCCTGAAATAGAATTTTAAGATCCCAACCAAAAAATAAAAAGAATAATTCTTAAATTTTACCAGATAAGGAAACTCCTTGATGTTAGCTACATCAGTAGCTTTCAGAAACAGTGCCTTCCGAGCATTCAGAATCTTATCTTTCCATTGCCGGTCTTCTTCAGCTCGATCGCTGGGATTAGCAGCAACTCCTCTTAGTAAGCTCAACATCTCCACTAGATCCTCGTCCAATTTCCTCTTCCGGCCACGCGAGGTGTTTCCTCTCTCGCTCAGCACCAGCCTGGACACCAGCGCTTCGATCCTCTTCTTGAGATCTGGACACAAGGGGGACTTGGAATCGGCGCCGAACTTCTCGATCCAACAGCGGAGGAGTCCGGAGCAGTCGAGGGGCTCTGATTCTGGGATCTCGAACCCTAGGAATTTGGCGGGATTCTTCGAGAAACTGACGGAGATGTTATCCAACAGAGCTTGGATCTCCGCCTCGGCCATCGCGCAGCCGACGCAGGAGTTCTTCGGCTGCAGATCGACGGTGAGATCGGATGATAGACTTGTCATTCTCTCCGAGTGCGGTGGTTTGCGTTGGCGCCCTTCTTTTTTTCCTTTTGCCCCTTGGAAATTGAAATCGTGGACTCGCGCGCGCCTATTTTTCATGAAAATTAAGGAGTAGGAAGTTATTAGTGTAGAGCGTTGAATAGAACCCTAAAAAATAAGAGTAATTATAGAAATACCTACTTTACGGCAGATAAAAAAGAATAATAATAGTATAAGGGAGAAACAAATGAGTTAAATTGAAACAAATTAGTTAAATTGATGGGGATATTATTTATGTTCTTTCTAAACAACTATGGGTCATGTGGCATGCGCATTTTTTTCTTATTAAAATTAAATATAAAGATGAGCTTGATGCATGATTGTGTGGATTTTGATCACAATCCGACATTGAAACTAGTTTGTTATGAAAATAATAATTAAATGAATAAATTACTATCCCCTTCATTATATGATGTTTTTTTAATTATACTTCGGTAGTATAATGAGAAAGCAAGGTTAAAAACAAAATAGGCGGGTAATGAAATAAGATATTTCGGTCATTTCTTCTTTCTTGTAACAATCAATTCTCACGTTTTCAATTATGTTATCACTCTTGCTTGCTTGTTTAATTTAAAAAAGAAGTTAATTGAGAAAGTATCCTGTGATCCGTGTCGGGTCGATTAATAGCGTATCTCAAAAAAAAAAAAAACCCTAAGATTATTGTGTTAATCCCTAAATCAACACTAAGTCCAAGATATTCGGTCTTTAATGAACAATATCCACAGAAGTGAATATGACCACCGAATGCTCTCCGTGGGGGTGCATTTCATCGAACAGAACATGACCACAAGCAAAATACATACTTTGTATGAAGGGACCAAAGAAAGACGAAGGTCTGTCAATTTACATGTCGACGACGAACCACGACAACTCATATAATAACTCTTGTTGAAAGATATTTTTACTTGTTCAGAAGATCAGGAGGCAAAAAAAAAAAAAAAACATTAATTGTTCGAACAGCATCAGACATTATAACGACCACAAAATTAAAACTAACTCCGCCGTGGGTTCAAGTCATAGACATCAGTTCGAACAAGGAGAATCCGTCGGCTCATTAAAATTTTTGGTGAATCCAGACCGGATCTAAGATTAAGAACTTCTCCGAGCCACTGGAAATCATGTGCGTATACAAACGGAACCCCTCATAGTTTCACCAAAAAGTAATTATTAATAATTAATTAGAATCATAAATTCTATCAATTATGAAGTCGTAACCAAATAGCGACGGTATCGCGGTAGATGACAGGCGTTAATTAAACCCGAATACCTAAAGGGGTTTTCTCATCAGTAACCTAGTGAGGGAAGCCCATTCCTATCAGAAATTTATTTAGGGTTAAAAAAGAATAGTTAAAATGAAAACCTATATATATATATAAAAAAAAGAATAGTTAAGTATTGAAAAAAAGTTTTGGGGTGGGCGTAGGGGGGAATACTCACAGTGAGCGGTAGAGAGAGGAGAAATATTGACAGCCTCGAATTTATTTTGGTGGATGGCCAATGTTTCTCGGGAGAGAGAGTATTATATAATCTCCGTACCCAAATTCAATAAATAGGAAGATAAGAAAACTCAAATTAGGTCTGTAGGCCCACATAAAAGTTTCTACAAAATGAGGGTTTATTTATATCAAAAAGGAATATATTCTATTGGTACATGCTTCATGAGATTGTTATTGCTATTAATTATGTTATAATTGACAGCTGGTATTTTTCTTATGGTGCAGCGAGAAAAAGGATTACAAGAGGAGACTTGTATAGTACAGTGTACCTGGACAATATAATTGGGGGTTTTTTGGGTGAGGTTCATGTGCTTTTCTTTATATCTACTGGCACATCTACAATTAATCCAAAAGATCTATTATCTGTGCACACAGAGAAGTCATAATCATAAGCATGTTTCTTTAAAATGATTAACACCGTAAGGGGTTGTTTGGATCGGGCATTTTGAAGGGGAAAGGAGGGGGAAAGCTGCCAATTTGTCAGTTTTTTGGCAGCTTTCTCACAAAATCGTCTCTTATAACAGATGTCATCAATCTACTTCTAGTGATCAGACAAAAGAGACTTGTTTGAATTATAGAAGTTAATATAGATCAAGAATCAAATTAACCCAAAACCTTAAATTTTTTTTTTTTGGTTTCAGCATTGTTCTTAACGTTTACGGTGCAAAACAATGGCTTAGGTACGATGATTGGACCTCTTCTCTGTTTATGAGTATAGCTTACGGTCATATATATTGTTGGAGTCATGAGTCCGCTGCTAACTTGATCTGAACCGACAACTATGGAGAGACGATATGGTAATCCAATCTTTCACCGCATGTGGGTTAACCATACCTTAACAATTGCTTGGAATATACTCACACATGAAGTTCCTCATATATTTTGCAACAACGAGAAAAAAAATGTTTTGCCCTTTATTTTCTTATGGATTTTAAATAGTCTCGATGCATATAAATGGATCAGATTTTAAGGGCATAAAAGATTCTTTAAAAAAAACACACAACAACTCAAAACCGAAACTGATTGGATCAATTCAGAACTCCTACGATAGTTATTGGAGTCTCCTATCATTGAAATTGTAGAAAATAAAAAGTTCCCCTTCCATCTCTAACATCACGGAAAAAAATTTCTTAGTTTCCCCCTTAAAAACTCATATCTAAATATGTTATTATAATGAAAATCAACAAAGATGAGGGAGTAAACTGCAAACTTCCAACTCACATGCCCCGAAAAGAAAGCGCGAAACTAGCACTGAAGAAACCGCGAAGAATTTTGGAGAAGAACAGGCTTTTGGGACACATGGAACTGTTTTGGAGTTGCGTGGTCGACCGCGACGCAAGGCCGGTCGACCGCGGCGCAAGGCCAGTCGACCGCGAACGTGCACAGGCTCAGGCATGAGCCTGGACTTGGTGCGGTCGACCGTCGCAGTCGATCGCGTGACCCTGTAGGAGATATTTGGGCTCTGTCGTTTGACGCGATCGACCGCCAGACCCTGTAACGCATTTACAGGCTCTGTCATTAGGCGCGGTCGACCGTGGCGGTCAACCGCGTATCGGGTCAGACCCAACTTTTGGTTTCCTGTTCTTAATTGGTTTTGGTGTTTGTATAAATACCTTAGGTATAAATTTTGATCTCCCGAAACAGGGATTTCGTTTGTATTGATAAGAATAGCTTATTACAAACTAATGAATCAAAATTACAACAGAAACGGAGGGAAGACCCTCATTGTTTAACGTGGGGACTTTGGTAGCTATAGAACGCTTCGCTCGATTCTCGCACCGAGTCTGCTTCCCTTGGACGATTCGACCGAGGTTGCTGGTGAGCTTCAGTACGCAGTAGAAGTTCGTGCTAGCCGAGTTCGAGTTTCCAAGTTCGATGGCGATCAGGGCTCGAAGCTAGGAGAAGGTGCTACAGTGCAAAGATCATGCAAAGAGCTTATCGTCAACTCCTTCGAGAGTTGAGAGCTGTGATTCAGCTAATTGATTAACTATGAGTTAATCGAACTTCTACTCTTGCTGAACCTGTTCAATTTCCCTCTCCGCTGAACGGCTGAACCCCTTCTCCGTGGCCGGAAGAAGTTCTTAAATAGAAGAGAGACGGCGTGGCCACTCCTTGAATCATGAGATATGACCATGTACTGTTGGGAGATATCTCGCCGTTCACCTATATCACGAGCGGCCACATGAGGGGCTCAAGAGTACTGCGCTCCTTCCCTTCACGTCATGGGGAGTGGGAAGGCCCATCCCTGTACGTAATATAGTGGCTGCCAAGTACTCTGGTGAGTTTGGCGGGCTTACTGTTTGTAGGCGAATTCAGCTCTTGACTCGTGCAGGCGAGGCGTGCTTCATGTAGGCGGGTCTATGGTCACTCGATGTAGGCGAATTTGGTGATCGCGTGGCCTTGGCTCGTGCTAGCGAGCCAAGCCCTTGGGTGAGCTTAATTTCTAAGATGTGTGGGAAGCTTGAATATGCAGGCGAATTTCGTGCTTCGTCTTCCAAGGTAATTTTTACCGTCTACAAATACCAATATACGTTTTTAGGGTTTCTAAGGCTTGAGTTTTGGATATTTGGAACACAGAAAAGAGGTATTTTTCTGAGCTATTTGTTTAAGGTTTATTTGGAAAGATTAAGAACTTTGTGGTGAGATTAGTTTGTTCCTTCGAGTGATTTGTAATCTCAATTTGTACTCTTATTCTCTATTAGTGAAAAACCTCATCCCCTTCTTGCCCCGTGGACGTAGACAATTGCCGAACCATGTTAAAATTGATGTTTTGTGTTTGTGTATTGATTGGTTGGTTTTGCTTTCTCGAACGGCGTTTGGTTTGGTTCCTTGAGACGGAGCCCCCGGAAAGAAAGCGCGAAATTGGCACCACGACGGCAAATCACCCTCGATTGCCCACAGCGAATCCCATCACCAGTCACCCACCCAAAAACTCTCACCGCTCCCCCTTCTCCTCTCTCTCTACCTCCCCCTCTCCCCGCTAGAACTAGAAGATATGTTATCCTTCCAGAACCTTCTGGGTATCTTCCGCTGCCAGCTTGGCGTCCGGTCCTACTCGAGGCTGATCAGATGGCATCAGCTGAGCGCACGTATGGCTTCTCCTTTTCAGATTTATGGAGTAGAAGCAAGATTGAATGGGCTCCTGTGAAGTTATCAAGTTGCTTGTTTTGGATCACGGGTTTGCTTAGCTTAGGATGGGGGTCAGGTAGCATGCTGTCGACCTGTTCGATGAAATGTGTAGCGTAGCAGAGATATAACGTCTGGGCTCGTCGGGGGAAGACGGTGGTGATTTCAAAGAGGTTAGCGGGTTATTATTTGCTAGTGCACAACACCTTAGTTAGTTTTATCTCAAAAAAAAGTTTTAAACCATCTGAAACTTTCTTGTACCTTACCCCTCCACATTTGGAACAATAATATCCACAATTTTTTTCAGGCTGGATGTAAATACTGTCCTGTATATTATTATTATTAATTTAAGGGATGAGTGTTTTCGTCAAAAGTTAATTTTGTCATGGAATTCATTATATCTTCGGTCGATTACAATAAATTCAAAAGAAATAGTCTTTTTATAAGACCTTTTTTACACAACAAACAGAAAATTACAACTTTTTTAGAAACAAACGCAGGATCGTTGTTTGGATCGCTGCTTGCGTGAGATCTTTGCCTGTGCCGGGGGTGCGTTAGCCCGTGGATCGCCGAATCACAGATTCAGATTGAATCGTGAGGGGTTTAATGATTCTGACTTCGTTTATCGAAGTGAGAACTTGAAACGATATCTTATCAAGGTAAGATAGTCGTTCTTCTTGAAATCAAGTCAAAGCCTGAATATCAAGGAGTTGCCGGAAGCTCAAGAACTCTGCCCTCTCTGCTCTAGAGTGCTCTGAAGTGCTCAAAATGATCAGCCCCTCTCAAAGAATGGCCTTCGGGGGGTATTTATAACCCATAGGAACAGTTGGCGGAAAACAGGCTCGCGAGACAGCATTTGCTGTCTCGGCCGTCGAGACAGTGTTTACTGTCTCGACGGGCGAGACAGTGTTTGCTGTCTCGGCCCGCGAGACAGTAAATGCTGTCTCGAAAACAGTAACCGTCATGCAGTTTTCATTTTAACTGCCTTCCCACGTTTCAAACTCCGTTATTTTGGCAGTTATCAACGTGATTCTCGCCCACGACGTTTACTGTCTCGCCAGGCGAGACAGTAAAGACTGTCTCGCCTGTGAGACAGTCTATACTTGTGTTCTTTTGCCTTTTTGGATGATTTCCTCTTGAGCTGTATTTGGATATCTTTCAGTATTTTTTGACGCCTACAGATACCCCCTCCAAAGTATTCCAGACTCAATCTTTTATAGAGGAGTTCTGGGATGCTTTGGATAAGATAGGTCTTACTTATGATGGCTTCAACACTTGATCTCTTTGTCTCTCAGTCTATTCGGTGCTTTGTAGAATAGCTAAGATTCTTTCGGCATGGCGTTCATCGGTTGACCGTTGTCGAGATCTTGAATTGAAGTTGGAGTTTGTACTTGTGAATTCAGCTTTTATCATCAAATTGATACCGCATTGTTAATCATAGTATCATTCTTCATAGGAACACAGTTTATACTCATGTATTTTTGGAGTTCTCAGGAAATGGTTTAACCTCGTATACCCGTTGGGAGGTAGCTAGGTTATTCTTAAGAATATTCTGAGTAATATTCTTCAGAAACTTCCTGTTGAGGGGAGGAATACAGTTTAGACTCGTGTACTCATTAGAGTATATGGTCTCTTTTTTGTTGGTAGAGGTGAACCCGATGATGGAGAGGAAGAATTTTATATTCTATCTCCTGGTCTCTTGTTTGTTGGTAGAGATGAACCCGGAATCGGAGAGGAAGAATTTTATATTCTATCTCCTGGTACAAAGGAAATTTGAAGTAGGATTTCTATTCAGAGAATCTAAATAAGGTTTAATCAATTGAGATTGGAAGCAATCTTAACTTTTATAGTTTTGATTGCGCAAATCGAAGCTGGACCTCTCGTTCATGGAAGGA